TCCATCTCTTTAGAAAACAACTTCATTGTTTAGTATTTTTATTTCATTATTTTCCATATTAACATATATTTTAGAGTTCCATCTTCAAGCACTCTGTACCAGCATAACGACGAATCTCCCTGATAACAAGACCTCCCACAACTTCCAGCATCTTTGAGAAGTGTAGTATGATGTCAGCCTTGCAGCCAGTGTTTGTTGATTCTGTGCGGTAGCAATTAATCCAGGCTGTAACATCATCACATATCTAAAAAAAAAGGTATGAAACTTTTGTTGAGATTTTTTACCTTTTCAATGTACGATTCTTTTAATATTTGCAAGGCATCCTCGGGAACCCAGGGGTAATCTTCTGTCGTTTGTTCCTCACTCCCACTCTCTGGGAGTGAGGAACGAACGACAGAAGATTACCCCTGGGTTCCCGAGGATGTTTGCAAGGTAGAATTCGTAAGAAATCCGTGTGCTTACATACCTTTTTCTCTTTGGAAAACAAATGAACGTAATGTCTGACGCACGTCTTGTGAACCTCTACAGCGCACTGATCGGAATCATCATATTCTTTAAAAAATAATAAGCGGAAGGGTAGTCATTTCTAATGGTTCTCGATCTCACAAAACGCTCTTGGAGGGGAGAGGGATGGGTATGAATATCTCTGGAAAAGATGGACGGTAAATAGGTACTAAAACTGCATATAACAGTGAAATATTTTGAAACAAAAATGTTGGATTGTAAGGAGTGTTGTGCATTTGCTAATGATGGCACGGTTATATGGTTCTCTTAACGAATTGGTTTGTCGTGAGTTGACTGTTAATGGCTCATTGAATGTTTGTACATCTATGCCAATATCCACTTATAGAATCTTTCTTCAGTTATAGAATTTTCCTATCGCCAAAAAATATGGGCGCCAATATCTCGTCTGAGTGTTGTATTGGGTAGTATATAGGGACTATATTCAAAATGTACAAAGAGCTGAAAAGTTCTACTTTCTAAGGGATGCCATTAAGCTTACTTATCCTGTCTAAGTACAAATGCTGCTTGGCAAAATCTGAAAAAACGAAAAGAATATGGAAGAATTATGAAACTATTTGTAGAAAACAAATGGTAAAAGAAAAAATGTATATTAATAAACTGATAATTGCTATATTATACACAATAGTTGCAATCATATTTCCACTCTCCTGCCCTTCCCCTCCCCATCATATCTTCTGCAAACCAGTGCTCATACCCTTGAGTCGCTTGAGTTAACACTGGAAAAAATCGCGCGCTTTAAAGGCTGTAAATTTAATGTAAATATGATGTAAGTGTCCAAAATTCTGTAAATTTAATGGAAATCATTTACATCAAATTTACAGAATTTTGGACATTTACATGATATGTACATCAAATTTACAACATTTAAAGCGCGCGATTTTTTCCAGTGTAAATCACGAGCACATGGAAGAATCGTTTTTGTGACTACAAGTTATGATGAAACTGATATAAAAAAGCCCCAAAAATATATTTGAACAAAACGACAATGATTTGAAGAATAAGACTGATTGGCTTATGGTTYCAGGTGAMGTTTGTAGATACGCTTGTTCAGCTTTCACCAAAATGTCAGTTACATAGATAAAAACATTCCGTGCATATTTCAGGCGCTAACAGGTTTGGATGTAAAGGAAAGGAATAGTGCTTAATGCACGACTTCCCATACTCAGATTCAGTTTCACGAACAAAGCATTGAAACGAGGCATCAAGGTAACGTTAGCATAAAATAAAAGATCTGTGGTCAGTATACCTTGACGCCTCGGTTCAATGCTTTGTTCGTGGTCAATGAACCTGCGTTTAGAAAGTCGTGAATTAGAAAGAGGTTATTCCGGGAGAAAGACCCTTGGAAATTGGAAATGAATTAAAAAATTAATTTCCGCGACCTCGCTGGGATTCGAACCCACGACCCTCGGATTTGTACTACTGATGCCCTAAAAGCGGTTTATTCGAACAAACGTAAACCACCACAAGCTTAAGTTAGCCCTATCCCAACAGGTRTTTAAYTCTACCCAAAGAGGATGTAAATTACCTGTTTTGTCAGTTATTTGTTTGATGTCTTTGTATTCAATCTCTGGACAGAATTTAAGCTTTTCGACGAAAATGGCTTGTTGCGTGAAAAAATATCTCATGGCATCGAGCATTTGACCACTAAGTTCGGGTCTTTTGGAAAGACAATCGATGAATATCTGTTGAGAAAATATAGAATCACAATGCAATAGCTTCCCTGGACAAGTATGTCATGTTCMAATAAGACCAAATCCTCGCTAAAGCATTGAGGCAGGGATCAATTGTCACTCACAGTTCAGCTAGGAGGAGGCGACGGGTTTCTRAGAGAAATATATCTGTTCTTATGTCCAAGCCAGCATCTGTAAGTCACAACTGGTTGCCAGCGAGAAATTCAGGRAAAAAACTCTCCAGGCAAGAAATACTTTCTAAGAATATTCAGGAAAATAAAAAGTTCCTAATAARAAAAGCCGTTTTGGACACGTTTGCCAGGATRAAAATTATTTTAAAGAAGGGCACCACATTTGCTTGTGAGATGTAGCTCAAAATTCCTTTCCCAGGAAAAAAWTCGTACAAGAACARTTATTTAGAAGAACAGACCACGTCGGCTCTTGCTGTCGAACCCTGACCATACCACTAGGAAAAGGTCCCATWATTGCCAAATTCGTATTTATATTATAGCTATCATAGTACGCKCTCTCTGATWGGTCAAATGTTATTGTGTATTTCAMCGATAAACGCACGGATGCGAAAATGCTATAATATAAAAGCAAAAAGCTGAAAATCTCTCGCCCCCGGCTCGAGAATTTTACGCCTTTTTCGTGCTCCCACAACATCCCGATTGGTTTGTTTCACTAGGAACGCACGAAAATGTGTTGTTTATTGCTAAATAAACATCGTCAAAATTGACATTGCCTTGAATTTCAAAGGCTGCTCGCCTGAGCTCACAAAGTTTTGAAGTTGCTAGTGTGCTCGAACTCTTTTCATCATCATCATCATCGTTCGGCTGTTGCACAGTCGACTACAAGACGTTTCTTTTAAGCAATTAAAGTTGCTAAGATGCGTATTCTTAAAATATCGAAGCTTGCATGTCAATATTAAACTTTCCAAAACAAATAGAATGCTCGTATGTATGTTATAAAGCAACGTCATTTGATACGCAAGGAGCGCACGCAGGCTCTCTAGCAGTTGTCCCTATGTAACCACCCCATCCAACCCCACCATATCTTATTAACCTCGCTTGCTCGAGCCGTACGGGAAGTTATGGACCGAGTTTTTTTTCACTTTTTATGGCCCTCGCGCTACGCTCTCTGGCCATAAGTCAGTGGAGAAAAACTCGGTCCATAACTTCCCGTACGGCCCTCGCGCTCGGTTAATAAGATATTATTATATGGGCGCATATTACATATTACAGAGATACGGATTTTATCTTCGAGTGTTGAAAAGATCTCTGTTTTTCAACACGAGAAGATAAAATTCGTATCTCCAAGCGACCATGTAATATTCTGTTTATCATATATGTAATGAAAAAATGAAAGAGTTTCTTTCAATCTTAAAAGAAAATACTCACAAATGCTTTTCTGAATCTTGGTCATAAGGTAAATAATAGCTCAACAGGTCATGGGAAATTATTTTTCTTCAAACAAGTCAAACATGATGTAARTTTTGAGAATTATTTACAAAAGGTTACAAATGTTAACCATAGGAAAGCAGTAACAAAATTAAGAATTTCTGCTCACAAACTACCTGTTGAGTCAGGTTAAAATTAAATTTTATGTTCTAATGTACCTTTTTTGGTATTTATAGGATAAAGAATTACTATTTTATAATTAGATATGAAAGCAAGGGAAAATATATATATAGGAAAATGCCTTTTTTCTTACTTCCACTACATAGAGAAACCTTGTTTTTTTCACTAGTGAAAATATCAACTTTACGAAATGGAGAAATGTAGGTATTTCATAGATAATGATATATGATAAATATACATCTTTCTTAGGATTATTGTTGAATCCGCCAATAACAAGAGGTGAGATGATGCTGACTGCATTGACACCCATATAGACTTGCGCGCTCAAACTTAGAGTATTACTTAAGAAATAAAAGACGAAATTCCGTGTTTGATACTCTGATCAAAACACGCGGGATGTAGGGAGAGCACGAGAATAGCGTAGGAAACCACGACGCGTTCTTTTCTAAAATTAAAAGAATACGAAGATTGTAAAGAATTCTGAAATACGATATGTGGCTGTCRTCTATCTCTGCAAATCTCGAAGTAGCTTCTGCAGCTTCTGTAGCTTCTAAAACGTTGATAGCTCTTCTTCTGGGATATCATCCCAGAGGACATCATAAATAGGCATTTCTTCGTTCATTGTTCTTGAAAATGAATGATAACAACAACAAATGCAAACGGCGGGAAAAAAGAAATTTTTGACGCGTGCGAGCGTGTTTTGATACTGTAATCAAACATGGTTTTCGACCAATCACAGCGCGCGTAGTATCCTAAATATTTTAGAAACTGTAATCAAACATGGTTTTCGACCAATCACAGCGCGCGTAGTATCCTAAATATTTTAGAAAGAGATATCATACAGTGTTTCTGTGTATGATTTACCTGTAGTCTTGTACATGTTCCCTTTTCATCGTTATAGTTTAACAACACCTTCTTATATTCTTCAATGCAACTCTTCGACAAGTCTAATTCAGCTTTCTTACCTTGGCTTGCTGGTATAACAAGAAGCAAGCTGAATAACACAAAGACCTTCATCGCTATTGAAGACAAATATAATAAAAAAGAGTTAGACACAATGGAATTTCTGTTTCGGTGCTTTTAAACATGCAAGCACACGCCTATACGAGGCCTTTAATCGCGAAAAAAAACTTGAGGGAGCATTTGAACATTTGGCGAAGAGAATCGTTTTCATACGAGCCTGTTATTTATTAAATGCGACCGCGCAATTCGGAAATCCTCCCTATCACTCTCGCTAACATTAACAGTCGACCAGTGCTTTCTAGAAATAGTTTATAAAAGCAGACACAGACCCGTATATCCCAAGTGATCGCCTCGCGTTTTCGGGAATGTTGAATTTATTTGTTATTTGCTTAAGTTAAGAGTCGAAACGTTGAATAACATTTACTGTGACGACAGCTCAAGCTGTCATTAAACCTTGAATTGTGATATTATTATTTGCTCATCTGAGCCAATATCTCGCTTTTATTATCTCAATGTTTTTGAGCTCACTTCGTTTGACGCTGTTTGRTGATTCAATAAAAACATMCAAACAATAGYAAAGACGGCAATTAAGTGGATAAAAAAATATTCAATAATTTAGAAAATCAAGCGACAGCACATAAATGGAATATACAAATGAAGGGCCGGATGACAGGGATGATTAAAACCCCTTTCGTAGAAGATTTCCTTAACTATAAACGTCCCATACTTTGATTTGTAGGAGTTGGATTTACTTGCTTTAGTTATTTATAGTTCAAATCAGTTTGAGGGGATATAAGGCATTTTAATTCCCTCTAATGCTTCGCTCGCTCCAGCATTATCTTTTTAGAAAACAACTGATATTTTTGTGGCTTCAGTAATATATATGATTGACCGACCTATAAGCCTCGATAAATAAAATGTAGTCATGTATATTTGTGTAAAACGAGAAGTAGGCGTGGGATTTGCTTGACTTTTAATTGGAAAATGAGACGTCACTCACTTGAATGTAAACTACTTCAAGAAAACAGTTAAAATTTAGGATTAGCCCACGGGTTCCTGGGAGAAATATATCTGTTCTTATGTCCCAGCCAGCTGTAAGTCACAACTGGTTGCCAGCAAAAACTGTCCTGGCAAGGAATACTTTCTAAGAAATTTCCTAACTGAAGAAAATATAAGCCGTTTTTGACCATAAAAACGTTTATATAAGTCGTTTTTGACTTTAAAAACGCTTGCCAAGAACAAAATTATTTTAATAAAGAAAGCGCTCCACATTTGCTTGTGACTTGTCAACAATGTAGCTTAAAATCCCTTTCCCAGGAAAAAATTCGTACAAGAAGAGTTTTTTAGAAGAACAGGCCCCATCTGCTCCTACTGAAACTGGTTTGAAATGCGGTAATACTGACAGTGGAAGGATTTTGTACTGATTTTGTTCAGTGGTTTGATTTTAATCGATGATTCTGGACACGAGCGGTTTATATTTGGCAAGAACCAAAGTCATTTTCCCCCTCATTAGTCATTGCAGAAACATAAAATTAACATATCAGACATGTGCACTAAAATGCATACGTGTAAGAATATTAGTAATGATCTAAGGTCTCAAATGGTGGCCCAAAAAATCCGAAACAAAAGGGATTAAAAATCTAACAACATAAAAAGAGGCTACGTGAAACACTGTGTTGCTTACATACAGTGTTTRYRYTTTCAAAATACTCGTTGCCAGGTTCGTTTGTTTAAGTAAGGGGAATTCAAACAGGCCAGTAAAAAAATATCTTTAAGATTTTTTTTAAGTTTCTTTCTTTGGACGAGTTCAATTTTTCTCTTTCCATTTATTAGCTATGGATTAAAAGGGTCTCAATAAGTATAAAATGAATGTCAAAGATATAAGATATATATATGAATGGATGAAACACAATAAGAGAAAACCGCTATATTATACAATACGTGCGAGCCAGTTGCTACTTAGCGTCTAAATGGACGCAATTTCAGACCAAACTTAGCACCTGCATTTCACTTAAAAAGTGTGTTAACAAAGTTCAATGGGGATTATAGCCAGTCGTATATCTCTAAAGCTTAATCTTCAATAATAATATCAATATTATTGCTAGTACTTTTTTGCGAACTTAATAGATAATAATCAACAAAAGATTTGTTCAAAAAGTAGAAAAGAAATTGTTAATCAGAAAGCATGCTGACAATTGTGAAAAAATAATCATTAGGAATTAGTTTCTTTTCCAGTTTAAGTTTGGTTTGGTTTGGTTTGTCTTTGTTGGTTTTTTTTACTCGACTTTTCGACGATTCAAAGTTTTAATTTTGTCATTATTTTTCTATTGTTGTAGGAATTTTGACCGTTTTGTAATTTTATAGTATGTTCGCTTTACATGATATGTACTGAGTAGAAATTCAGTTCTGTAAAACCATAGAATGCCGTTTTTCATTGTGCAGAGAAAGGGTAGTTTAAGACTAATAGTTGCTATTGCACTCTGAATCTTTTGTTCTATTTTTCTTTATTAGAAAACACTATCTAAATAGTCATTTTGGTTTCAAATGAAAACCTTCCAGTTTATACAAAAACGACGAAAACACACCATTTATTCATTAGATCCAATCCTGAATATATAAAAAAACCTTAGAAAAGGTCTGAAATGTATCTGGCAGCTAGAAAAAATACATTTTAAATTCGAGCACCATGTTTTTAACGGCCTATTATTAACAGGCATAATTACCGCCCTCCTCGCAAACCATAACTAAGTTGGTATTTTCTGAGCTTTAGTTTTCTCTTCTTATATAATTAACCGTAGGGCAGTGTTCGTGTGATGGCTGTCTAAACACTGCAAGCAAACAAATTCTCTCATGTGAAAAATCGCAACCAATAAATCAAATGTCGAAGGCAAATTCGAGACAACTCGTACAATCTATAACTATGACGAACTGAAGTCAATTCTTTTTTCATTTAAATTATTGATCGCGGTATTCTAAAACAAATACTTTGATAAACATAAGAATTGATAGAGATTAAGCCGGACAACAAACACTAACAGTAGAAATGATAAGTGCTTGAACGGATATGCTGTTTCAAGCTCGAACAGAAAATCATGCACAGCCCCCTTAATAAACGAGGAATGTACGTGTGTGGCAACTTTAACTTGTCTCTTTGAAAAAAGGTTATCAATAATGAAAATTGAATGGGAAATTCCTAAATTTACTGGTAAAATTTTTACTTTCTGTTTCACCTTGACCTGATTTGCTTTTCGTTTTGTCCAATCAGTCCCACTATTGTAACGGTCTTATAGAATTTAAACAGTCTCTTTTAGATAAAACGATTTTAGAAAACCTTACCTAAATCGAAGCTTGAGTCGTTTGTTTAAATGCGTTTGTCTGGCTAAGTGGAGAATTTAAACTGTGTTGCATCAACAGAAAGCTACACACTTAACAGCCATGGGTTCACTTGCCGGGTTCCTATGGTAACTTGATGGAGATATTGGCATTCATTTGAAGTGGCTGATCAATATTTTTATACATTTGGACTATTTGAAGCTTTAACCACCAAAAGGTGCGAATGGGGAAGGCTTAGACTAATATCTCGTTAGTTAAGTGATTGTTTTTATGACTATTGATCGGTTTTCAACCATTCTTATGAGATTCAAGAAATAAGAGACCGACGGCCATGTTGGACGAATGAACAATAGCTAATGAGAAATCTCTTGTTGAAGTTCCTCCAAGATGGCCACTGTGACGTACAGTGAAAACGAATAATATTAATGCGCGGATAAATGAATTTGTGATGTCACTTTTGTGGAAATTTTATGAAAACAATACCGAAAAACGTCAAATTGTGTCTCTGTCCCCCTACATAAACACGATGGCAGATTGTGGGCACTCAAGAACTAAGCAAGAGGTAGTCTCGCTACGCTCGTGTTACTAGCTACTTCTCCTGCTTTCCAGGATCTAAATTAGCTCTTCAATTAAAGTCTTATGATAATGAACAATATTGAGCAATCGCACCTCATTAGGACAAGTAAATCACCATGTTATCGCCTTAACCCTTCATCCCCCTCGAATATAAAATGCAATTAAATATGGAACCAGGACAGTTACGGTACTGGACTTTTCGAACTTTTCCTAAAATTTATCACCTGGGTAACATTTTGGTGTTAATGACGCGCGAAGAATCAATGACGTTGCTGATGTTTTCATAACGATTTGTTTGTTAAACTTGCTAACATATTGTCAAAACAAATGAGTGAATGATTTTTGATAAGTGTTAATAAAATTCTTCTCATTCAGTTTTACGTACTGAAAAATTTATCTTTGTCGGCACTTAAGAGCTGGTTTCGTATGACGCGCGTCGGATCACGACTCGTACATGGCTCGCCACGTTCATCATTCTAGAATCGCTACTGGCAGGTGAAGGAAGTGCCGCGTTTTTTTGAGCAGTCATGATACGTAATCCACTTATCCGTGTATATCACGACTGATTCCATCTACAGCAATACGCAAAAATTATGATCTTTTTTTGTTTTGTTTTTTTCAGTCCGGTATCCTAGTCATTCGCGCGCTGTGATTGGCTAGCGCGCGGTCCGGTTTCTCACAATCTGCCCGGTCCGACGGTATCCTGCAGCTACAAGTAGACTACGAGCAAAGTTGCATAAAATACAAATAAAAAAATAAAAATGTTATTTACCGGCTATAGGTCTGCGCTCGTTCCGTACTGTCAAGAACTCGGGCAGTGTTTTCCTATACGGACCGACCTATAGCCGGTATATAGCATATATTTCAAGTATAATATAGAATACATCAGAAATTATAGGATGTCATAGCCAATATTTTTTTCAGAAAGTACTAATACTAAGCAACTTCCAAAAAAATACCAGCGATGATATCCAAAATTTCTTATATATGTTATAATACTTGGAATATGAGTCAAAATGATCATAATTTCTGCATATTGCTGTAAAAATGCAATTATAAATATAATGACTAAGCGGAACATTTGTAGTATCTTTTTTTTTTGTATTTTATCTTCAATAAGTATGTGGGTGATTGTATATAGCTTAAAGCTCAGTCTTGGAGCATTCGGCACCCATGAATCTACGTATTGATTTCACAACGCTCTTTCCAACCACCTTCAGCATTTTCTGAAAGTGATCGAGTATGACCGCTGAACAGCTTGCCCGCTTTGCTTCCTCGTCATAGCAATCAATCCAAGCATCCACATCATTGCAGAGCTTGCCATCGCGCAGCAGAGATAAGTACTTTTTGATGCATGTTTTGTGGACTGTAGCAGCGCATTCTTCCCAATGATCCTCATCTRAYGGAARAGAAAATCGTATTTTTTGATTAGATTCCTTCACAACACTTTATTTTGCCCTCTTGGGATCCCTCTGCTATCCTTTTAGCTGAGCGGAGGCCTTTTTTCGGGTTACAGTCGTACTCTGAGAGGAAAATAGGAAGCCCAGGAATAGACAACCTTTATCTGGACCCAAGCTAAGGGATAAAAGTCGTTAGAACGAGATTGAAGAGTACCCAGATCATTCTCAGTCAGTTTCCCAAAGGAAAATCGAAGCCTTTGTTCTGGGGTGAATTAGTCTTCAATTTGATTTGSTCAAAAATTCCTATGCGCCATCAGCATGTATATATTCTGAGAAGGCCCTGTTTTTAGGTGGTTGAGTTGTTTTTCTGGTTGTTGGTTAGGTATTTGCTTGGTTAGGTTGTTGTTTTGTTGTTAGGTATTTGCTTGGTTGGGCTGTTGTTTAGGTCAGTGTTGTTTAGTTGTTTTGCTGTTTGTTGGTTATGTATGTGACATCTTACCAACGCTATCAAGGTACTTGTGTTTCTGAGCGACATCTAAAAGGCAACCAAAATAACAATTACCAGAAAAATAACATCGTAGCAGATAAACAAAACAATCTTGATAAATCAATCTTTATTCAAACGCCATTATCATTTTGGGACATAACCATACATTCTTTAGAAAAACTGAAAAAACTCTAATAGACCTGTACCACACTCACTTGGATGAACACGAAACAATGGCTTTAAGTCGAGACTGGAGTTTTATCTTTTTTAGAAAACTCCAGCCTCGAACTGAAGTCATTGTTTTGTGTTCTAGTAGTTTTGTTGATGAATGTTTATCAGTAATATTACATTAATGCGTCATCTTGAAGGGAAGCTTCGCCTTTGCATCGAAGCGAGACGACGGTTCAGCTAATTTTGATGATAGATATCTATATTGAAAATTGTCTGCAGGTGTGAAAGAAGATTTCTATCATATTTTACGTTCACGTCGTCAACGACTGAATTTCGAGATGACGCGGGGAACCATGAAGGGTACTGTTCATGATTCTATTTCAACAAAAAAAATCTTCCGCTCTCATTGGTAGGGAGTCGACCACGTGACGCTGCAGTGCTACCATTTGTTTTTTGGAACATGCAGTTTCCGTGGGCAACTATTTTAGTGCGCGAATCGGCTTGCTAATCCTTGCAAACTTAACTCAAAACAACTAGAATTGAGTGGTAACCTTTGGCTGTATTTCCTAATAATTATTAATGGTCTAATAATAATTAACGATGATTATCATGGAAAAGTCATCATATTTACCAGTTTTGTCTGTGATTTTCTTTAACTCTGCAAAGTCAACATCAGGACAGATTGCCAGTTTCTTGACGAACAGGAGTTCTTGCGTGAACAAATAGCGCATGTCATCTAAGACTGCATCAGAGTCGTCAGGTCTTTCCGAAAAACAGTTTGCAATCAACTAAACAGAAAATTCAAATATAGACTTGTTTTTACATATACTCAATATCATATCAATCAATTGACTAACACTTTTCTTGGCTTTTA